CATTGTTTTTCCAAGGTTTTAATATAGAAACTGCAAAATATTTGTTCAGGTAATTGATAGCAATGTTGAAATAAGNCACAACAACGGCGTACGCTGAAAAGACTTTGGGCTAAAGATTTCTTGAATCTACTCATTCTGATAAAGTGTAAAATGATGATATTGCGTGTAAGAACAGAAATGCAGAAAAAAAAGTAAGAAAACAAGAGCAAAACTAAACTGAATGGAATGAGGAGGAGATAAAAGTTACCACAAAGAGTAAGCATAACTAGTAACAGAAAACTGTAGGAAGTGGAAGTAGGATAGAATTTGCAGCCTATAAAAAGATCCACAGTGCAGAAACGAGAAAGAGGGTTATGTTGAGGACTAGTACAATTCCATTAAAAGTGTTTGGGGGTTTTTGTGACGAGTGTGATGAGCAAACTTGCGGAAGCATGGAGAGCAACGGTTGAAATACCTTCCGAAAGAACAAACTATAGTGTGAATGGAAGCGGAGTGTGAATGGGTTCATACATCACTTTGAGCCGTAACTAACCTTCTCAAGAATATGATTCTTTTCTTCAGGGCACATGTCGTGAAGAGCAGAACTGAAGTGCCCACATATTCTGGCAAAACAGAGAGCAAACCTCGATTGGGAAGGAAGGGTGAGGCAATTTTTCCATTGTTTTTCCAAGGTTTTAATATAGAAACTGCAAAACATTTGTTCAGGTAATTGATAGCAATGTTGAAATAAGAAAAAAGAACCTAATCTTTACCAGTAAACGCTGAGATCGCTGGTCTCCTTAAGCATCTCATCCTGTAGATCGATCATTTTCAGATGGAAAACGTTCGTGTTCATGATTACAGCCAATTTTCGGTTTTTGTGCAGTGAACATGCAGACCTTGCCATGCTCATCTTCGCCTTAAAAAAGTCAATGACATTGGTTACAACTGAGTCAATAAACAGAATGGACCGAACGATAAAATATCACTTCATTGCTTCTTGCACCCAAGAAGATTTGCGATTTCTATTGCACAGCCACACATGCTGAAGATTGAAAGGGTAAAACACGGGATCAATGCGAAGACTCAAAATGGAGCGAGATCAAGCTAATTTGCTTTAAAAGACCATTGTGTTCGACATCGAATACGAACAAATATATCATATTAATTAGTTGCCACAAAAAGCTTAGAAATGATACTACGTAGTAAATGCTACACTACCCTATAGAGAAAAAGGGGAGTGATAGATCAAATGGGTAGTTGGTAATATTCATCAACTATGATTTCGACATGTTTCCACACTCCGAAGGTAGAGAAGGAATAAAATTGAGACACCACTGCTTCTCATAATTCCCACCAACTCGTCATGACTTCCGAATGCTTAGCTATCTTGTAATCAACAAAAGGTGAAAGGCCCCAATTTTCATGACCCAGCAAATCCTTCTAGATGAGATATACTAAAGCTAGTTTCGTCTTTGGAGCACAACGAAACATCCTTTAGGGACCTTGCGCACACATATTTACACCTTTGTGGTTCCCTGTCATCATATCAAGCCGATATTCACGTAAGTTGGGTGAGAGACGCCAAAAAGGAACAGCAGCACCAACCTGAAATCGGAACCAGTCTAAACGCAAAGCACGTAGATCGGTGTCTGAATTGATTGAAGATATTGAAGCGGCGAAATCAGATAACATGACTGCGTCTTCTTCGTTTAAGTCGCCAATGCCAGATACCAATTCGCGGGTCATGATGGCATCGTAACCGTTAACGTACTTAAACACCAAGCAAATACAATAATAAAAACACCTTCAACAAGCTCAACACCTTGATTTACCTTTAAATAATACCGCTGAATTACATCGCTATGCTTCGTCACTAACTGCCTCAACTCAAGCATATAATAAAGAAGTTCAGGTAGCTGACGATCCACAAGCTCATCACACTGTTTACTTCCTTTTTTGTTCGACGAAGGCCACTCACTGAGATGGCGAAGAAGCCATAAAACCTAAAAAATCTCATTGGCATCGACAACATTGAAGAACAAATTCACTTATACCTTACTTCATCTCTAGTGAAAGAGAGCGCCATCCATACAAACAGAATCTTGGGACCTAATAGACCAGGTTGGTCTTTAATGAAAAGACAAAGTTCACGAAGAGCAGTACGAAGAAACCTCCGACGATCAGCATGAATGGAGGCGCTGAAAATCGATTTTCAATCTTGTTCCTGTGAATGGCAGATATGTTGGCACCTCTGTTGCAGAGCTATTGAATAGCAGTCCTTAACTTCTTGAGATCGTTTATGATACCCCTTTATAGAGTCGAAAAACTGCTGTACTTCGTGATGAGTTTGAAATATCTGTACACCATTGTTATGTAGAATAATCAGTCGCGATAATGGGACAATGAAAATCAAACAACCTCGTCTCTGAACAGTCGTAAGCAAACACCCATTTGAAGGGACATCTGCCACAAATTGAATATAGTCTTGTCGGCCAACATAGAAGAGTGGCATACGGTAGTACATACTTGAACGAAGAATTGTAAAGGTCGTTTCGAAAATGAAGAAAGGAACATCACAACTTACAGACTATCCACCGATCCATGACATCGAGTGAGAGATACTCGCAAGCAATCTAAAAAGCAAAGTTTTCGTCTCAATAAACGCGATGGTATGCGAGAAACCTATCACTTATGACCAGCCATTATTTCAGGCCCCTGGTAAGCAGAACATATCAAGCCGCCGACCACGTCGGTAAAACTAGAACAAACCCGTCACGGGAAAGGGGAGCAATGCTAGGACTAAATCAGTAGTTTTTATGAGTAGCCTGAGTCTTTCTTAGAGGCCGAATTGATGGCAAATGGTACGTACAAGATTGGTCGATTGAAAAGATACAGCAACATTGAAGCAAACGGAAAAAGTTTGAAAAGGCCGAAATTGTGTGTTGTAAAAGTCGAACTGCTCACTTAATACCATGCTACTGCGGTCAGTGTAAACATTCAATGGATTTAAAAAAAAAACTAAGCGGTTCTAGTGAGAGCAAGCGATAAAATGATGTCAAAAAGATAATGCTCGTGAAATATACGCGATATCGTAAACAGATAATACCTCATGGACATCTTAATGCCACATTAACACCCGGATCTGCTCCATTTTGGTCGAACGAGACCTGTTTCTTATGCTTCAACATTTCTCAAACAGCTTAACTCTCCCTCACACACTGAGCAGCTCATCTAGAGCGAATTGTTATATGCTTCGCTACACAATATACTTCACTTCTAGAGCCACTAATAGAAAACCTCTCACTTCCTCAAGTGTGACGAATTTAATTTGTTTTTGTGCCGTAGGAATTTGAGTGGTTAAATATAAAGCCCAGAAGACAGACCACTAATTGTCATTTATCTAACTGTGGGTCCAACATAGATGTAAATCAGTAAATCATTACTGAGACAGCAAGAAGAGAATACAGAAGAAAAAACAACCACTTACCGTATCCGTTTGAGCTGCATATAAAATTTGATGGGGATTGGCTGTAAGAGAGAGAATTTGGGCATTCCTCCAAGTGTTCGCAGTAATGTTCCGACGAAGATAGACCGGTGACAGAGAAGAAAGCGCCGATAAAATTAACTGAAAAGGAATTGCTTCCTGACAAGTCATCAAATCGGAAGTTTTTATACCAAATAAACAATAATGGCCCAAAAAATGCCATGATGACAATGATCAATGTCAAACCAATCAAAGCTTTGTAAAGACTTGAAAAAGTCTAAATTAGTCGAAATGCTCACTATCTAGAGCTACAGCCGTAGCGAGCATATAAACAATCAAGTCAACTATTTTCTATACCATTAGAAGAACACCTACGCGATTTAGGGGACCAAGGTCTTCACTGAGCTTTTTCAGAGGATGTTCGTAATCCAGAATCATTTGACCCAATCGCGGAAATGATGCTTCGCTTTGCACGTGAGTCAAATCGTAAGCAGCATTGAATAACCCTGGAAAAAAGTATTTGCAATCAATTTCTAAAAAAATATTAATGCACTTTCAGGAAACTCACCCAAAACAACTTTACGATCATCTACGCGTGAGAGGAGGATCATCAGGCAAATAAGATTTACAACCAGGTTGAGGTATCCCGCAGTTAATTCGTAATTCAAAGACTGTAAATGACGAAATTCTAGTCTAGACTTAACGACAAGAACTGATTTGCAATGAAGTTCTTCTGGTCATTCTTTTTGGACTCACAATATCAAGTTGGCACTGACAAGCGTCCATAGTTGTCAGAAGTTGTAGTATATTATCCTTTAAATCCATTAAATCAGCAAATGTATAGTAGTATAAAGCCAGAGACTTGATGATATCCTCTTTCATTGTGTCGACATAATGAAATGTGGACTAAAATTTGAAAAGTGGAATAAAGGAATGAAAAATCCTCGNTCCTTTAAATCCATCAAATCAGCAAATGTATAATAGTATAAGGCCAGAGATTTGATGATATCCTCTTTCATTGTGTCGACATAATGAAATGTGGACTAAAATTTGAAAAGTGGAATAAAGGAATGAAAAATCCTCGAAAATAATGCCGTACATTGTTCATCCTGGCGTCAACCACAGGGAATTTACGTGCTATATGTTTAATGGCACTTTCCATATGCTTATCACTGAGAAAAGCAGGCTTTGACTTCGGGTCTGAAATGAAAATTTTGCACGAGCTATATGAGTAATCTTGAACAGTGCTCCTTACCTGCACATGCTTTCTTTATATTGTAAATCCTAGTCAACATTCCAACTGCTCGATCATTCAGTATGACAAGTTTTTCTGCTATTTTCAGCTGACTTGATTCCATTTTGAACGCCATGGTTTAGAAGACAAGCAAAGCTCGTCTTCCAAAATATGGCTTTGTGAACTTGGGCTACAAGTAAGTAATGGAGTCGCAATGGAGGAAAACCAGATGTACTTTCTGTTAGACTACAGCCTTTTTTGAAGCATAATTCGATGGGAAAATTTCAAGTGAAAAGTGCAAATAGTCGGAAATATCTAAGGAAAACATTTGCCGGACGAATGGAAAATGGAATATTGTAGTAAGATTTTGCGCTCCATTGACATTTTGCCACTGAAGGATAAGTGAGGAAATTGTGTTGGTGGTCTTGAAGCGAATGCTCTACAGTAAGGCAAAATTAAGGCAAAAATTTTTGAGGGGTCACTTACCTAAGAGATTTAGAAATTGCGATATTGTTTTTGTTCTTCAGTTACCTGCCAAACCATTAAGTTCTGTTCATATTGTTTGAGCGTGTTATACGTGTATTTGGATTCGTGATTGGGGCGTGAGCGTGTGTTTCGGTGTTCTTCGTCGCTGAACCATATTGACTTTTTTAGTACTCTTGTTCTTGTTATTCATTGTTGTGAACACTTCAGGTAATATGCCTCCAAAGGCAGCGAAGAAGGCTGAGCCTAAAGGTGGAAAGGCTCCACCCGGAAAGAAGAAGGAGGGATCCGGAGGAAAGGCCAAGAAGAAGAAGTGGTCCAAGGGAAAGGTCAGGGATAAGCTCAACAACATGGTCTTGTTCGATCAGGCGACATACGACAAACTCTATAAGGAGGTGTGTTCCTATACTTTTGGTGTTATTATGGATTTATTTTTGCAATATTTCTTCTAGTGCATTGCAAAAGATTGACAACTGACCCGTTCAGAATGAACTGCGTAGTAGGTAGCTCGCCCATCGTGCACATGTTAATATAATCTCGGTGACTGATCCGAACAGTTTTAAATTAAAATTAGGTATTTCTGCACCTGCTAATTTCTGATCTGGCCTAGCTTCCTGTTGTAAGTACCAGAAATAAAGGATAATGTTGAGGATGGAGTCGCATTGCCAGTTGATGACAGCAATAAATGTCGATTAGTTGAGATATAACATAAATTTTGACGAAGTTTGATTTGATGGAAGGTCTTCCCTTCTTTCCTTGGTCATTTAAAAGCTTGTTTCAATTAACCGCGATTTGTAGTTCACATTTGAGGGGATCAAAACGATTTGGTATGTTGACAACTGTAGGACTTCGCATATTTAGAATTCTTCAAAAAATTGAATAAAGGGAGGATTAATGTTCGTTTTTTTCCAAGCCAACATATAACCAAGAGGATTTTCCTTGATTTGTAAAAACCGTAGAAATTATATTTTGATAAACTATACCCAATTAAGTGCCATCCTAGTATAACTAACTTCAAATCTGAAGAATTCGTTTCTTATACTTGAAATGGTGCTCATTTTACCGCGCTCTCATGAGCGAATCCAATTTCTGCGGATGTCCCGTCCCATCCTTGTAAGATGTGAAGTTCCCGCTTTCTTGGAGATATTCTTTTCAATATATTTTCCGTTATAGTAAGCTAATCAGGTGCGAGAGGTAGCTTAGTTTCTGTGTTCTTCACTGCTATTGTGCCGCATGCCTATTTTATTTGGTGCAGTTTTTTGTACATTCAAATTACTTGGTATACCTAAGTTAACAACAAAACTCGAAATGGCTTTGATCAACCTAAAGTGTCGAGTTGTGTTCACACTTCGACGATTCTGCCGGCGCGCACGCTGGTAGAATCGTCGAACTTTCAAAGCAGCCAGTGAGCGAAACCGCGTGCTGTTATCGTTAAACATTTATCTCCTGTCTGTGAACCTGCCGCCACTAACGTGTTTTTACCTTTTACCCGAATCCAGTACCTGAGGGAGGTTCCAAGGGTTTTCCATAAAGAAGTTTATAGTTTCCACAGCGAGTATGTTTTTTTTTTTTCATGAGAGTTGTATACTGAGTTGAAAAGTGGCTCTCTTTGAGCACTAACAAAATAATTCTCCTAACCTAATATTCAAAAACTTCAGGTAATCACCTACAAACTGATCACGCCATCTGTTGTTTCTGAACGTCTGAAGGTTCGAGCGTCATTAGCCAAAGCAGGTCTTCGGGAACTTCAAGCCAAGGGACTTGTGAAGTGCATCGTTCACCATGGGGGCCAAGTCGTTTACACTCGAGCCACCAAAGAGGCTGACGTGATTGTTGAGTAAATGTTGTTATTGTTGTGTTCGCGGTTTTTATTCATGAACATAATTTAAATGTACATTGTTGCACAAGCACATCAAACCTTGCTTCTGGTTGAAGTATTTCTGGATTTTTGTTGTATTTACTTACAACCTTCTCATTGTGGGTTTTTTTGAGATGTTCGTATTCCGGGTTCTCAATGCGGTACCATACAGTAACGAAGCAGGTGCTAAGGATGTCATTGCGAGCTTACATTCCTTTTTGACTTGTAATCTGTTAGTCGGTCTCGCAGTGTTAGTATCATGGAAGCAGTTCGGCGGTAAACCAATTGAGTGTATGGTGCCGACGGACTTTACAAGTGCATGGGTTCAGGTAAGAGTTTATTTTTGCGAGCTTTTTGGAAGAGATTTGGGGTGGTGGTAAGTGGACGTACAATGTGAGAAGTCCGTAGTGTTTTCACGGTTTTTCGTGGTGGCCTAGGAGGGTATGCTAGATTTGCGGCAAGTTTTGCCATAGTTTCTGGAAGAAAATATTCCATAGTTACCCACAAAAGAGTACAGATCTCATCCGCAGAAGAGTACCTTTCTAATTCGCTTAGTGGCATACGGAGGTTTCATAGCGATACTGTCTTTTGAACAGCGGTAGTCGCGAAGCTGTTTACAATGGGCACCAGATCGAAAAATGAATAGATTTATCAAAAGGGTAACTTGTCATTCCTTGAATATCCTTAACTCGATGAGTTGATTAATAGATGCTTGAGCAACCTGGTCAACGCTACCATCAGCGGTTGGAATTTCTGTACCCCTCGATGAATTCAACAAGGCCATCTGCAATTGGTTCTTTGCACTCCTTTGATCAGAAGAGATTAGTCCTTTCCGCGTAAAACAGAACCCGCTAACAGTCGGCACCCTCTTCCACTCTTGCAGGTTGTCCTGGAGTTTTTTCCCGGCTCTGCGCTATCGGAGCGATGGCATCAGAGTAGGGGATGGTGTTGGAAAGTTTTTTTTTGGGATGACATCCATTATTAGTTTGAGGAGGAACGGTCTTAGAGGTGAACCCTGAAGTACTGCAAGTGTGACGCGTGGGATATGGAGTTGCTGATTGCTGTCGTGGACCATTCGAACGTGTCCTTGATCCGGGATATCAAGCCTACAGTACGCTTTTATTACCTGGGAAAATAGTGGATTCGTGGGCCTACTTTTATTACCTGTAGAAATAGTGGACTGGTACTTACACAGAACGAATATGTCTCCATCTGTAATATTCCCCTTTTTTCATTCTCATTTTTCCCCTTTTCGATTCAGTTGGTTTGCTACTTTTGTTCAAATGGGGAAATTCATATGTAAGGACCGACTGTTCAATATTTTCTACCAGAAGATCTGATTTTGAGAAGGGAGTTGATTGTACGTGCGAGAGGTTAATATGACAAACCGAACTACAAACTCCCCTCTCTCAACTAAGTAGAGGCTGAATTCTGAAGAATTGCGGTGTTGTGATAAATGCTACTCTGTCCGCAGCAGCCAGCGCTTATAAAACCTGGCGAGCGTGAAATTTTGCAGGGAATCCGGTACAAGGACAGCATCGGAGGGCAAATGTGCCAGTTCAGTGTTCCCGCTTGCAAAATATTGGTATGGTGAGTGACCGCGCTCGTGATCTAGTTGTTCTTACGGAGCGTCAAAGAAATTGATTTCTGTGCTTTGTATAAGACGAGATGATCCTCCTGCAAGTCGAGGGAGATTTGCCTTTGCTTCAAATCAACTGCAGTACTACACGATGTCAGAGTCAATGTCTTCGGCCGTTTCCGGGATTCTGTTTTGAATGTCGAACGTATTATTTCCGCCTGATGAAGATCATTGTCTTTTTCGAAGGCCGACCGTGTTACAGTGTCGCATTTTCCCTGTGTACGCTCCGCAAAGTGGCTGATTGAGCGAATAAGGCGAGATTGTGGATCATTCTTAACGAGGGCATGTCTGAAGTGCTACTACAAGATGCTGTTGTTGTTGCAGGTGGCCTCCTCCTTGCAACGAAAGGCGGTTACAGTTGTGAGGCGGGTGTGATTGTGGGTCACGTCAAGCTAATGGTGAGTGAATTCATGGGTGCGACTTGACTTGCATGACGTCATCATCTAAAATACAAAGTTTTGTCGTCGATGTCGTCTCCTCTATTCTAAGGTCCTGACGAAGGCGGTAACACCGAAACGTTAACTGAATAAAGTGCTGTACCATCTTGGCTGAGGCTATACCACACATCTTCATACCGGTACTCACACGATGCCAAGGTTCATAGAAAGTCGTTCATGGACAAAGTTTTGTGATTGTGACTCTCGTCTCTTCACCTTCGACAGCGGCAAAACCGGATCAAAGTAGATTTTGCTTTTCTCAGGCAAGTGATCCTGCTATAATCAAGCAGTAGAAGAAAAAACTGAAGGGAGGCCGGTCAACAATACTCGGAACCAGCTGTCGCGATTGGAAGGAACTTGAAAAGCAGTGAGCAAAATTGCTCGCTATGAACAAGGTGAGACAAAGTCCGGACGACGGAATGTCGGGAAACGGGCAAGGCAGTGGAACGATAGCAACAACGGAAAGATAAGCGAGAAATAGAAGCTCTACCACGTGTTTCTTCTCAAAAAGGCGAATGGTAACCTGCAAAACTACCGGAAACTGCGTCTTATGCTACATTTCGGGTAATGCATTCTAAAGTTTTCAAGGAAGACCTGCTACATGTTCGTATGCCCTAAATACTTAAGCTTGCCTATGCTCAACTTTGGCTGTTTGCTGTTATCATTTGAAATGTGCATCGAAGCATATTAACTTTTTTTGAAATGCACTGAAGAAAATCCTTCCGTAGTGTTTCCGCTGGATTGTTTTTCAAGATAGAACTCTTTTTCCGTTTTCAGTATGCAGAGAACTACTGTTGGTCACACGACACATACTTTCTTCCATTCTCTAAGCCTGCAGCTCGTATTTCCGACAGTTCTGACCGTAGCGAGGCTCAGGTTCTGTTTTTGTTTACAGTGTTCTGTGGTTTAATTCTTCGTTCTTCTGAAAAGTTCATAGTTATTCAGATCTCGTACTACCAATGGATGCCGTTCTTCCTTCTCTTTGAAGCTGCTTGCTTTCGATTGCCATGTTTTATATGGAAATATTTTGCTGGTCAAAGCGGTTGGTGCATTTATTCATCTTCACTCAAAAGTATGAAGGAATGAAAGTGAAGTTGAAATCCCTCCGTTTATATTGTGATCGGTGTATCGGGTGATTGCCCGACTTACGCCGGGCTCTCCACTCCTTCGTGTTCAATTTGATATGCGTCACTGACGTTTGTCATTCCTCCTTCCATTTTCAGAAAATGAGTAGATAGTAGCTCACGAGTAGTACAAATCAACATTGGACAAAATCAATAGACCATTTTTGCTCGCTACGTTTATTACCATACTCCACACACATCTGTGAACTTCGTTGGAATCTGAGTATTGTGCATTTGAATAGGAGTGCGAATAAGCGGCCAATCACACAACAAAACGACATAAATCAGTGTATCGACCAGGATCCCCACTGCGTAAATCTTACCGTACCTGAACGCTCTTGGTCTAAAGGGAGCAAAGCTGTGAACAAATTGCGCATACGAGTGAATCCTACATTTCTCACATGTCCATCATATTGATGCACGAAACATTCTCGAGTAACGAGAAAATGGGCAGGAACGGAATTGGCTCTGGCTATGTAGAAAGAGGTTCTCTAGGGAGCATTCCGTAGCTAAGCATTGTTAGGCCTCAGTTTATACTTTCATCCTACTTCCAAGTGCTTGCTAGCACATTCGTTGCTTTCATGATGGAGATCAGGTTCCGAAATCTTGGATAACATGTAATATGGAGAAAAGTCTCCATAAAGTTAGCTTCAAGAGGCACTGTGTCGTAAAATCATTCTCTTTTTGCTTAAAAAGTGGGTTCTTTTAGGGATGAGAGTTGGAGAGATATTGCGATTGGTAACAGATGAGCATAATACCGTTCCTGAGATTAGAAACGAGAACATTGAGGCGCTTCGAATACACTTACAAGGAGCTTTGCGATTTCAGAAGAGACTTAAATTGGTATGTTTTGTTTTCTTGATTTGTTTGATATTCGTAATGTTGTTTCAATACTGGGATCGAACGATCTCATTCGAAAAACTAACAACGATGCCGAATTAAAATTGTATAATTAATGGCGGAAAATGGAAGCCAGTACAAACTAATTAACTGATTTTCATGCCGATTAGTTTGTTAGAAAAGCTGCTAATTGTATTTTCAGAAAAATCTTTCACCACACAAAATTCTACGCTGCCTCAACGTAAAATATTCTACATATTATGTCACATTGATCTATTTCATAGCAAAGTTGGCGTTTCTCCTGAACGTGGGCCTACAAACAAAGCTGCTGAATGAGTGAGTTGTCTTGTTAGAATCCTTATATCGTTACATTAGGTATAGTGGTTCAGAATCCTCCGGAATTCTCATAGATGGGGCTCCTTCGATGCTTTTTTAATTTTTTTTAATCTAGAAAACACAAACTGTTTCCAAAAGTGCAATTTCTAGGTATCTCTTGCCTCATGCTAATTCGAGTCAGTTTGGTTTCGATGTATGGCAGACTCTGTGGAGTGGAAATAGTTCATGGAAAGAAAATGGTTTATTTCCAAGAGTGACTCTTTGCGATTTCGAGGTTTAGTACTTGCTTGCTGTAGAGCGTTTGCTTTCTGACAATTCGGACTTAAATCGAGATATACAATTTAATGTAATCGCTACTTGCCAGCATTGCAAGCGGTTTTTCCAGGTGCGAGAAATGGGAAATATACAAACGCATACCGTACAATGCGTACTTTTAATAAATATTTTCACTGAGAAGATCTTCATTCTTCTATGGGCATGGTCAGTTCAAAGCATACACTAGAACTAAATCATGAATTGATGGAAATTAATTTCGTTATTGCACAGGTATGTTTTTCTCGGGACGCTAACAGCTCTCAATATGTTCAGTTGGATGTTTGCGATGTTCAGCGAGACATCGAAGGAACATTTCATAATCAATCACCTTGAAATGTGTGAAACCCAATTTGACAGGAAAAGCGCCGGTAAGTTACATCAGGTTGAATTATATTCCGTCTGTCCTCGACGATCAATTTCAAACTCGTGAGAACTACATCAGAATGACACGATTGAGAAAAGCTCCTTAGTTGGAATGGCTCATGATAATTGTGCGCAGGGGCGCGAAATTCTTCTTTGGGGAGCTGTGCATGGTAAAGGTCAACGGGCGTTATTAGAGTGGAGCGTTGAGCGTTAAGCGCTGAGTGCTCGTAGGCCGGTTTGGCGTCCGCGCCGCCACTGATGCTGTTTGCACTGGAGCATGTTGTTTCCCAGAACCTTTCGTGATGATATACTTTTTGTCACAGTAGCCACAATAGAAAAAATAACTCTATATTTTGAAGAGAGCGGAGGAGAGGCGGGATGCACAATGTTAGGAGAAGCAATTAAAAAAAATATTAACTGCTGGCCCATGTGGTATCGATCGGCGATCAACGCCATCAAAACGCGAAGTGCCACTGGTTGACACGGCTGCGCTTCGTTGCGCGCGTCCGTCGAAACTAGGTTACGCCGCAGCCG